TTAGTTTGCTTCTCCCCACTTCTTCCCCATCCCCTGTACGGACCGCTGCTCGGTCCAGAGGAAAGTTTAGGAAAGTTTGTAACTACAGCCCCCTCCTCGGGCGGGATCTCTCCCGCCGCCAAGTCTGGGCCTCCCTCGGCCGCTGCTGGGGCTGCGGGAGCTGCGGGGCCCCGGGCAGGACGGAGCCCCGCACAAGAGCAGCAGGGCACTGATGAGGAACGCTGTGTTCTGAGCTGGGATGGGGAACGAGAGGAGCCGGGAATGCCAGGCATTGCAATGCTCGCACGGGGCAGCGAGCGCTGCGCACCCGCGGGGTCCCCCCGTGTCCCCCCCGGCCGCTCAGGGCAGGAACGTCCCCGCCCAGGTGCAGAGAGGGGGTTCATGTCGCGGACACCGAGTTTCTGTCTTGGTATGCATCGTATTCCACTAAGACAAACAAGCACTAGGTCAAGAGCATCTCCCGCGCGTTCTTCCCACGCAACCTCCACATCAGTGGAGGCTTGGACACCTTTTCGTTCCCATACGAGACGAGCGCTTTCCCACGGGATGTCCTGAGCTCGGACACCTGCAGTCCCTTTCTGGCCGGCAACTCTGCCTCCGCTTTTTTTTTTATTTTTTTTTTTTTTTTATGAGTCTGACGAATTCTCGTCAAGGAAGAGTCCCCGTGGCTGGCACGGGTGTTCAGAAACCCACACAGTTTCAAGGCTCGCCCAGGTAGCCGGTGCCGGGCAAAGCCCGTGTATCTGCCGTGAATTCAGCACTCAACAGCTGGAAGCTGGCTGTAACTCCGCAGCGAGCGGTACCGCACCGCCGAACAGCCAGCGCTTCCGAGCCCACGGAATCCCCGCAGGACCTTTTCCTCCGGGATAGAGCCCGCAGGTCAACCGGACAGGAGGGCAGGAAAGACAGGCGCCTTTCCAAAGCCCTCTCGCCTGGATCGCATCACGCACGAGAAGCCACAGTACGCGGCGTGGCACAAGCCAAGATTTTGGTGGAAGTGCAAAAATAAGTTCAGGCAGGGTATTCAGATGCAGTATTTGGATCCAGCTGTTCCGGTGGCTGTCCCGGAGGAACAGATTCCAGACGTGCTGGTCCCTCGGTGGGTAATTCGAATCAAGCGCTCTGCCAATTCACCGAGGGGAGTTTGGAGTGCGTGAATACACACGCGTGGGCACGCTGCGCCCCGCAAAACCGAAAAAAATAAAAGACACACACACACAAAAAAAGTCCCTTTAGGCCTTGATTACTTTTATTAATGGACACATTAAGCGGCCTTAATGCTCCTGGCGGATTTTCGCCGGGACCGGAGAGCTCGGGAGCGGGAGGGTCCGCCCGGGATCCGCTGCCAGCGGCCGCCAGGGGGCGCTGCCGGCCCGCGGATGCGCGCCCGTGGATGCGCGGCCCCGCGCAGCGGGCGGGACCGGGCCCGGGCCCCTCGGGAACGGCGGCATCGGGACCGCTCCCAGCGGCCCGGCCCGGCCCGGCCCGGCCGCACTGCGGCTCGGGGAACCGAGCTGCTCACCGCGCCCTGCTGCTGCGGGGATTTTCCCCCGCTTCCCCCGCACGTGTTGGTGTTTAAAAGCTCTGGCACGGGTGGGTGTGGGATTCGCGTGGAAAGGCGGGGGTTACGGATGTCCCGTGTTAATGACAAGGTATTGGAACGGCGAAACCGACAGCCCCGGGACGAAAACAGCTCCGCGGAACCACGGCGGGGCCGGGCTGTGCGGAGCGCAAGTGGCGCTGGTTCGGGAGCGAGAGGCGACGGGGCCCTGAATTAGCGTCGAAAAGACAAAAACTAAAGCAATCCTGCCCGACCGCTGTTCCAGGGTCAGTGAGAGGAACCCGGGCAGCAAGGCCTTTTCCTGGTCCCGGTCTCGGTCCCGGTCTCGGTCCCGATCCTCTGCCGCTGAGACGGGAACCCGGCGGCTCCAGGGCTGGCCCGGCTGTGCGGGACCGAAATAGAGGGGTGAGGTTTTCAGGGCTGGTCTCCTCGATGGGGAGGTCCACGGAAAGCATCCCGTGTGTCCGGGAACCCAGGATGAGTGGGGAGCAAGGCCCTGTCCACGCGTGGCTCTGGCTGCGAACGGAATCCACCTGCTCGGCGGAGGCCGTGGAGCCCGAGCCCGGCCTCTCCCGCAGCTCCGCAGCCCGGCCCGGCTTCTGGAGCCAGGCCCGGCCCGGCCCGGCTCTCCTGCCGAGCACTGCGCTTTTGAGAAGGACTCGCAGGAGGCTTAGACATACTGAGTAGGGTTTAGGGTGTCCAGAAAAAAAATTATATCAGGCTTTTCACCCTCTCCTTTAACTCACGCCTGCCTAGGTCACCTCTCCTCCCTGCTGTGTGCATGAATCTCTGGGACACGGGGGAGAAAGGGGACAGATACCATCCGGAAAAGAAAGTTAAAGGGAGGCTGAAACTTCCCTCACTGCCACCCCCATACCCGCGAAAGTTCAGTCTGGTTTAGCCCATGAATAACCGGCTTACCCCGAGGTTCCGCATCTGAGACCTTCCTCGCAATTTCTTCTTGGCTCGTCTTTTAAAAGATGAGTATTAATTTGGAAATCCGGAGCTGGTGCCTTTGAGGCCAGCCATGTAATTTGACTGCGAGCGCAGCGCACCCCTCCCTCCGAGAGAGGCTGCCACTCGGTGCGCTTGGAGCACATCGGGGATTGCTGGGAAGGAAGCCCCTGCCAGATTTTCTCCATGTAGACGCCAAGAGGACAGCGAGAGCAGCCTGTCGAGACCTTGGGTAGGAAAAGTTCAAGAGAGAGGCTTCGGGAGGTGTTGCCGGGGCAGGCCGGGCTCAGCTCCGCGGCCGTGGCCGGGCCAGCAGAGGCCGGGGCTGCGCTGGAGGCGCCCACGAGAAATGGCCACGGCGACGAGTGCGAGAATGATACAAAAATTTAGGGAGAAGAGAAAAATTCTGGGAAGTCCCATCCCGAGTCCTTTTGGTTTTTGTTCTCACTGTCCCCGGCCTGTTTTATATCTGACAAAACCCAGGGAAAGCTTGTGTTCTCCAGGCTCTGCTCGCGGTTCCTGTGCCTGGATGTGTCCCCGCACACACACACACAACATGCACACAGATCTGTGTGCGAGTGTACGGAGCACAGAGAGCGAGCAGGGCTCGGACCTCCAGGGTGCTGCGGCCGACATCACTCGCTTTTCCCGAAAAAAATCGGACTTGGCCGTGGAGAGCTCCGCGCTGCAAGCGTAGCCTCCTCCGTTCAGCTCCAAAACAGGGGGACCCCCCTTCGGAAAGGGATTTTAGGCTAGAGGATATTTCCCGGGAGGTAAAGAAGGTCGAGGGAAATTTATCGATCGTTTTGGAGGTTCTGCGTGTGTGAGGTTTCTTTTCAAACGGATATAATTCCTCCCTCCCCAAGTGCTAAATTACTCGATGCAGTTTTCAAAGGAGCCCCGTGATTATGTCAGGATGTCTGGAAAGAAAAAAAAAAAAAAAAAAAAAAAAAAAAAAAAAAAAGCAAAGAAAAAGGAGTTGAAGTTTTTCCAATTCAGATTCATTCTTCAGTCCCGGAGAAGTGTAAATATGCAGATGTAGAACACCGTTCTTCCTAGTAGAAGTTTCTATATCTCTCTCTCTTTTTTTTTTCCTTTCTTTTCTTCTTTCCTTTTTTTTTTTTTATTTTTTTTTATTTTCAGTGCTCTGGAACCAAGACCCCAGCAGAAAACAGCACATCAAATACCCGTCCTATTTAGGGCACTTTCTGCTCCTTGCTCGTGTCTATAACCCTCTGTCTTTTCAAGAAGAGGAGTAATGACTGCCGCTTGAGGGGAAAAAAGTTGCACGGAGAAGGGGTGACGGGACTTTAAAAGTTAAGACACTAGCGATTCACGAGGGACACGAGTGGGGCTGAAGGGAAATCCTTCTCTCCATTGCTCGGCTCAGCGGAGCCGCAGCCCTGCACTGCGGTGTCTTCGGGCAGGAAAGGTTTTCCCAAACGTGTGAGACCCGGGAGAATGGCACCTCGCAGCAAAAGCTGCCCAAAGACTTGAGTTCCACCGTGCAAAGCTCACTCTGCTCTGCGCCCACACGTGTGGCTGTGGATGTCTGTACGTGCAGCCGCCCCACGCCTGGAGATCAGATTTACATTTCCTACAGAAAGTGAACTTCTCCCTCCACAAAGTGCACGCAGCGCGGGGTACACAAAGGGAAACACGGCCTCAAACAAAGGCGCAAGAACAGCCGCATCTTTGCGTGCCCAACACTGGTTTGTCACTTATATTTAGCCCGTCGATTTGGTATTGTGTTAAAAATATCGTCAAGCTTGGAATAGATGCTTTTAGCAGAGAGTGGGGAAGGAGAATAGAATTCATCTCGCCCTTTACTGGAAACAACCGTTTAGACGGCGATTTATTTTTTAGCATAATTTAATGCAGTGAAGTAACGGATTTTCAGTGTATAAAGTGGAAAGAAAATAGAAAACAAGGTCCGGGAACGAAGGAAAGAAACGCTAGGCTGGTTTTAGGACTCCCCCCCATCCCTTGGTTCAACAGAAACATTAATTTACATTAGCAATTCCGCATCTTTAAGATAAATTACACAGCGGCGTAATAGATTTAAAGTACACCAGATTTTTTTATCATTAATTGTAAATGTGCAAAATACCTGCTGGTACTTCACTTTAGAAGAATGTAATTGGCAAAAATGGGAGGCTGATGAATAGATAATAGATCCTTAACTACCAATAAACAGTAAGCACCAGCCAAGAGTATTAGGATGTGATCATAATTATTCTGCCGCTCCAGCCAATGGGAGGAGGAGAACTCAGCCCTAAAATCATCTCCGGACCCAAAGGTAAACGCGAAAATACGGACAAGGCTGGAACCGGAGACTTGATCCCCTGTCCCGTCTGCGAGAGCCCGGCGTGTCCCAGCTTTGCACGATGCGGCTGCCCCGCGCTTTGTGCTCCGCACCGCGCGGTGCGGGCAGTGCGGAGGAGACAAGGGGAAATAAATAAGTTCGGAGGAGGAGGACGACCCGTTCTCTCACCGGGACGAAATCTTTCCCGAGCGGGGCATCTCTCCCCGACACCCCGGGGATCAAGGTAACCTCGCCGGGCTGAGAGCACCCGAGAGGTGGCAGGGACAGGGGTGTCGCGCTGGGAGAACAGCCCAACTCCCCCCTGCCCCCACCCGAGGAGATGGAGGGCCCCCCATCCCCCGTTCCGCTGAGCCCCCCCCGGCCCCCGTCCGCCTACCTTGGTCGCTGAGAGGCGTCAGGGGAGGGAGGGCAGCGCGGCTGCGGAGGGGCGCGGAGCCGAGCGGGGCCGGGGGCGAGAGGGGGAGGCTGCGCGGCGCTGCGCGCTCCCGGGCGCGCTCCCGCCGCACTCCGATCCGCGGCTCCATCCCTCCCGATGGCGCTGCCCGGCGCTCGCCTCCCCTCTGACGCACTTTAAAGAGTCTCCCCCTTCAACCTCAAGGCGAGTAATAGCGACCAATCATCAAGCCATTTACCAGGCTTCAGAGGAAGCTGTTTATGTGATCCCAGCACTAATTAGGCTCATGAACTAACAAATCGTTTGCACAACTTGTGAAGGGGCCGATCACATCCATGGATTGTCTTTGGACTTAGGGGGGGAGGGGGGGGCGCGACCGCCTTTTCCTTGCAGGAGGGAAACTTCTCCCAGCAACTTTTTTTTTTTTTTTTTGTGTGAGTGTGTGCGTGGTGCGTGTGTGTGTCTCCCTTTTGGGTACCGCTGGCTGCCGCTGCCTCCTTTTCCTCCAGCCCCTGTCTATTTATGTGTGTATCTATCCCTCCTCAAGTCACTCCCTGCTGCAAACTTCCCCGGATCGTCTCCCGCGCACCAGAGAGAGACGGGCAGAGATTGGGTCGGGGACTCTCGTCGCGGCAGCATGTTTCAGCCCACACCCAAGCGGTGTTTCACCATCGAGTCGCTGGTGGCCAAAGACAGCCCCTTGCCCGCGTCTCGCTCCGAGGATCCTATCCGGCCGGCGGCGCTCAGCTATGCCAATTCCAGCCCGATGAACCCTTTTCTCAACGGCTTCCACTCCACTGGCAGGGGGGTCTACTCCAACCCGGACTTGGTCTTTGCAGAGGCCGTCTCCCACCCGCCGAACCCGGCCGTGCCGGTCCATCCCGTGCCCCCTCCTCACGCCCTGGCCGCCCACCCGCTGCCTGCTTCGCACTCCACGCACCCGCTCTTCGCCTCGCAGCAAAGGGACCCCTCCACCTTTTACCCGTGGCTAATACACCGCTACCGGTATCTGGGCCACAGGTTCCAAGGTACGTTCAACTTTTCTTCTCCTTCCGATCCAGCCCCGCATCCTGCGGCGGCCCCCGGCCGGTCCCGGCCGTGCGGATGTTGGGGGTGGGCGGGCGGCCCCTGCCCGGAGCGGGAAGCTCGGCTCGGCCGGGCCCGGGGTCTTTTGTCCCTGTCTCACCCTCCGCCAAACTTGGAAGAGCTGTCAGAGCCGAGGGGCTCGCGCTTGGTATTGTTTTGCTGCTTTTCCCGGTTTGTTTTGGTTTCCCGGGAAGAGTGGGGCAAGCGGGAAGGCAAGGCCGGCTGGGACTTCGTCAGCTTTCTTGCCCCATTAAAAGCAGACGAAAAGGTGGATAGTTTTTGTTCCGGTGTGTTAAGAGCTAGAGAGGAGCCCCCGAAGGAAGCGGCGGCGCAGAGGGGGAATGGAGAGGTGGAGAGGCTGAGGTTCCCCCGGGAAGGCGGCGGTGCCCGCCCGGCTGCCGGGGCCGAGCTGCGAGGCCGCTGGAAGCCCCCGCCGCCGCCCCAAGTCCGGCCGCTGCTTTTGCTAGAGGGGAAGAAACGAAGCGAACCCCAGAGAAAGGAGGAGGGGAGTGTGTGTGAGGAATTAATCCCAGCGCCGGAGCAGCGCGGGGAAAGGGGGCTGCGGAGGATGGCCAGGAAAGGGGCACGGAGGGAGATCCCGACCGTGCGGTCCGCGAGGGGCTCCAAATGCCAAGCGATTAATAACCGGCTGAAGGGAAACAACCGAATCCAATGGCGGACAATCAATAAAATCCCCCTTGTTTAACCCTTTGTAACCGGCAGCGTCTTCTCCGAAGGGTGAGCCGATCTCTCCTGTAATGGGTCCAGCCTCTGCCACTTTCATTATAGGCAAACCAACAAACAAACAAACAAACAAAACAAATCAGCCTCCGCTCTCAGGGATCCATCTGCCTTTTTTGTTTTGGTTTGGTTTTTTTTTCCCTTGTATATTTATTTATTAATTCGAAACGAAAACAAACCACCTGCATGTTGCATTTTCTCCGGCCTTCCACAGCCGGGCCGCTGCAGCCGGGCTGGAAAAGGAGCCACTCTCTCCGAAGCCAGGCGGTCTGAGACACAAAATGGATTATTACCCTTTCAGAATAAAATTACAGGTTTCGCTCACCAAATTATTTGTCGCAGGCACCAGGCGATTGGTAACGAGGGGTAGATGAAAGGAGGAAATGTCCTGGTGTCGAGCCACAGCCTGATTTCAAACACACCCTCCTCCTCCAACGATTTTTAAAGCACTTTCAGAGAGAGCCCCTCGGTGCCGCTTCCACCTTGGAAAGGCCAGCCCGGAGAAGCGGCCCAGGGACACCCCAGAGGGAAATGCCCACCGAAGAGCCCCGGCTCAGCAGCCCCCGCTCCCGCCCCCGCTCCTGCAGGCCGCAGCAATGGGATGGGACGGAATGGGATGAGGTGGGATGGGATAGGATAGGATGGGATAGGATGGGATGGGATGGGATGGCCGCTCTGTGGCCTCCTCAGAGTTTGGTTCTTTATTTCCACGCCGGTTCCCAGCTCCGCCGAGGCAGCGGAGAGGGTCAGTGGGCCGGGAAGGCGGCGGTGGGAGCCCCGCTGCGGGCTCCACACCGATAGAACCGAGGGAAGCAGCGGGATAAAGGCTCCGGCCGGAGTTTTGGGCGAGGGAAACCGAGGCAGGCCGGGGGAGCAGGCGGGCGGCTCCCGGAGCCCGGTGGGCGGCCAGGGAGACTCCCGGGGCTCGGCCAGTGCACCCCGAGAGCCGCTGCCCAGCTGGCCGCCGAGGGAAGGTGGAAATAACAAACAAATAGGGAAAGACGTGAGGCTCCGGTGGTCGAGGGGGCAGCCGTGAGGTGTAGCTGCAGACACCGCAGCCGTGCTCTGGCCAATTCTTTTATTTTCTTCTTTCTTTTCTGTAGTGCTCGCCAGGTTGTGTTTTGGCATTTTAATTTCTACCAGTCTTCTCCTCCCCCTGCTTATTTATTCTTCCCCTCCAAGTGTTTATCAAAGAAAAATTCAGTACAAAAAAGGACTTGAAAAATAATAAAAGAAGAGGCTATAGTTGGATTTATCTGGAGGGTAATGGTGGGAGACAAAAATTCTTGCACTGAAAAGTGCTGTCGAGTGCGTTTGGGGAAGGTGTCTAACTAATCTGTTTTACCCTGTTTCCCAGGGAATGAAACCAGCCCGGAGAGCTTCCTATTGCACAATGCACTGGCCAGGAAACCCAAACGGATCCGTACAGCTTTCTCCCCATCCCAATTACTGAGACTGGAACATGCCTTTGAGAAGAACCATTATGTAGTAGGAGCGGAGAGAAAGCAGCTGGCACACAGCCTCAGCCTCACGGAAACTCAGGTAAGGGGGAAACAGGGATCGGGCAGTCGGGAAAGCGAAAGTACCGGCATCTCCTTGGGAAAACCCACCCGGCCGGGCCGGCATTCGGGCAATGATAAGGGCAAATTTTATGGGTGTTTAGGCCTCCAGTTCCGAACTGCTGCAGCGGACAGAGGGATCTCCCCTCACCTGAGAGTATTAAAATCCTTTTCCCGTTCGGGATGCCACGGCTCGTGCCGGGGGTCGCGGTGCCTCGGTCGGGCGTGGGGAGCCACAGCTCTCGGGGAGCGATTTGGGGTCCCCCGTGCAGCCCCGGCTGGAGCTCCCAAGTGGGGAGGCAGCGGCGAGAGTTGCGGGATGTGGGTCCGGTCGTTTGGCTGTGGGACTAGTCCGACCCTCAAGAAGGGGTTCGATGTTAGGGGAAAAGCCACCAAAGTAAATGCTGGGGCCAGGGGGAGAACCTCCCCTTTAGACCCTACAGCAGAAAAAGTGTTTCTTGTACGAATTTTCGCTCGTTTCTAGCCGGCAGAGGGGATGTGATGAGCCGGTTCAGGAGGGCAGAAAGATGAATAATAGAAGCAGAGAAATTATTCACAAGAAATCCCCCCCCCCTTACCCCTTACCCCTTTCACCCCCCCCCCCTCCCCCCCACCCCGCCGACTGGCTGCAGGCCAGAACCGCACCGGAGGCTGTTTCGGCTCTCCGGTGGGACTCTCGGAGATGTCTCTGCCACGGTCGTGCCGGCCCGAGGGTCTGGGCAGGTACCGGGGCCGGGCAGCCGGGGGTGGGCGCAGGCTCTCCCCGACGGCTGGGGGACCAGGGCTGGCTGCGAGGGCGCTTTTCACGCGGTTTTCTCCCCGCCGGAAGAAAGGCTGGAGTTTGGAGGACTGGTGGTGGTTGTTGTTGTTTTTGTTGTTGTGTCGGGCTTTTGTTTTGTGCCCTTCCAGGAGACTCGTGGAGAGAGGGTTCCAGATGGGGATTGTCTCTGCTACAGTATGTGGCACTGTACTAAAAAAAAAAAAAAAAAAACAAAA